GTCCCTGCCGCGCCCGCTCCGCCCCCGCGGCCGACTCACCTCGCCGCTCAGCCGCCGCCGCCTCCTCCGCCTCCGCCAGCTGGGGCCCGGCCGGAAGTGACGCGACGTCGCGCACGCGCAGGCGCGGGAGCCCCCGGGTCACGTGACGGGCGGCGCGCTGCGCCGTGGGGCCGGGTCGGCGGGGTCGCTGGCGGAGGTTCGGGTGCCGCGCGGTCGGAGGCCGCAGGGTCGGCGGCCCCCCCAGCCCGGCGTGGACGGCGCGCCCGCCGACCACCGGAAGCGGCTGGAGCCGGGGGGCTAGGACCGGCTGGTCCCCAGTAATCAGGCCACCACCACGGTCTTGGGCACCACGTTTATTGAAAAAGTAAAAAGTGTCACAATAAAAAATTCACCTGGAGAAAAAGCCAGGCCAGAGGTGCGGGGCGGGGGTCGTGCCCAGGTCCAGGGTCCTGGCCAGCCTGGCCGGCTCTGGCCCCGCCTGCGGGCACGTCCTGGCACTTGGGGGAGGTAGGCGCTGGGCTTTTCCAGGGAGGATGAGAGCCCTGGGAGGGCAGGGCTGGGCTCAGTCCATCCTGGTCCCTTTGAAGAGTTCCACCAGGTCCTTGAAGTCTGGGTCAATGAGGTCGCAGGGCAGGTCGCCATCATCATTGGCTGCATCTCTGTCTGCCCCCAGGGAGATGAGGTACCTGGGTGCAAAGGGCAGCCCTGGTTGCAGGAGAAAGATGGCCTGGAGGATGCTTCCCCCACCCCAGAGTAGCGGGCTGGAGCCTCGAGGTCCACCTGTTTCTTTTTCTAGGTGGGGTGAGGGGGAAGAAACCTGACCCTTCAACAACTATGGCTGACTTTTCCAGTTTGCTCTAGGGAGGCAACAGGGCAGCACGGAGATTCCGCGAGCCCTTAGGGCTCTTAGCTGCACCACCACGAGGGCCAGCCACATCCGGGAGGCCACTTGAGGCCGGAGGAGTTGGGATGAGGCTGTTGGCCTGACCTTCTCACCTGGCTATGTCGGGGTACCCGTCGCTGCAGGCAATGTGCAGGGGCGTCCAGCCGGTCTCATCGCGCTGGTGGATGTCAGCCCCATACTTGACCAGCAGCTTCACGCACTCCAGGTTTCCGGAGAGCACGGCTTCATGCAGGGCCGCCAGGCCTGGGTGGAGCAGGGCAGGAGGGGTCAAGGCGGAGCCCTTCTCCCACCGCCCCACAGACCCTGGGCTGGCCCTGCAGGTACTCACCTGAGGGGTGGATGGTGTCCAGGGCCACTTTGCGAGCCCGGATGAAACGCCCCACCTGCGCCAGGTCGCCCTGGCGGATGTGGTCCAGGAACAGGACATCATTGGGGAAGTGCACGCTGCGCACAGCCAGCAGACGACGGCGCCGCTGCCGTGGGCTGTAGCGGGAATAGGGGACAGTTCTGCTGGGCATCCTGGGGGCTGTGGTGTGGGCCGCCCCGAAGAGGACCCCACTGCTCCGGAGAGGAAGATGCCCAGCCCAGACCAGACAAGTGTACAGGCTCCCCTAGATGAGGACAGCGGCTCCCGGCACAGCCACTGCAGTGCTCCCTGCGTTCCCTCTGGCAAGGGCAACTCCCACTTATATAGGCCCGCAGAGCTATATAAAGCTGCGCGGTCATGCTGGGCACCGCAAGGGGCCGAAACCGAGCTGCCCTCCGCCCCGCGCCCAGATCATGTTTGGTGGCTCGTCTTTCAGCACACCTGTCGCTGTGCCCAGCCAAAGGGGTCAGATCCTTCCTGGCTCTCGCACACAGCCCCGCTGCTGGACCTAGAAGGTGCCTTGCAAAGGACACTAGAAGGACAGGGCCTACCTATAAGGAAGGCGTGCAGGTACCAAGGAAGTGGAGGGCCCAGCACCTCCCCAGGCCCGAAGCTCTGGGAGAAGGGTATGGTGTGCCGTGAAGATGGCTGCCTCTACCTTCCAGAAAGCTAGGGCCGCCCACGTCTCAGGAGGCACAGGGTCCTGACTGTGCTAGGCAAGGCCCAGGCCTCTCCATCTCCCTCCCTGTCACTTCTTGCCTTCCATTATGGCTTACATCACTCTTGTGGGCCTTGCTGGCACTGCCTTCCTGCCTAGGGACCTCCCAGGTTGTATTCTGAATGCCTCAGCCCCCACACAGGCCATCCCGCCCTGCCTATCAGGAACCCACAATGGCCTGTTCCCCTCCACCCTGAACCCTGTTCCTGTCCCCCCCCCCCATTTCTCCTGGTTCCAGGCTCCTCTGTCACTTACTGGGCACGTGCTCACACTTAAGGTGGCATCCAGTCTGTGCCCCAAGAACAGGCCATCACGTCCTGGGTGGTATGTGCCCTCTGTACCTGGCCCAGTACAGACTTACCTGTGGGCGTGCCGCCAGTGGAATTTCAGAAGACGTGCCAGCACGCTGGGCCACTGCCACCTGCCTTCACTGCAGCAGCTAAGGCCTGAGGTGGGGCTTAGGCCTGGGTGGTAGAGAGGAACCAGTGGACAAGCTCTGAGCACGGAACATACGTGGGAGCCGAGCGGGACCAGGAGCGCACCTGTGGGGGCAGGACAGCCCCACAGCACCTGAAGCTGGCTATGTTGGTTTGCTAGGGCTGCCGTAACAAGGTGCCAGACAGGCCCTGAAACAACCGAACTTCATTGTCTCCCGGTTCTGGAGTCCGGGATCCAGGTGTCGGCGGGGTCGATTCCTTTTGAGGGAGAGTCTGTCCCAGGTCCCTCTCCTGGCTGCTGGTTGGCTGCCCTTGGTGTTCTCTGCTAGCAGACAGTTCAGCCCATCTCTGCCTTCATGTTCACAGGCCTGCTTCCCAAGTGCGGGTCTGTGTCCAAATCCCCCTTTTCATAAGGACACCAGCCAATGGATTAGGGCCACCCTACTCCAGTATGATCTCTTAACTGATTTCGTCTACAAGGACCCCTTTTCCACATAAGGTCCCATTCTGAGGTCCTGGGGTTAGGACTACACATATGAAAACTGGGGAAATGCAGTTCAACCCCTAACACTGGTGAAAATCCTCAGTGGTCACTGAAGGCCTGACTGAACAGAACCAAGACTGGCCAGCATTCTTCACAGGGGTAGGGCAGGCAGCTGGGCCACCAGCAGCCTTTACATCACCAAGCTGGTCTGAATCCAACAAAATCAAATCAACAAGTGTATTTGACACCCTATAGGTGCAAAGCTGTGGGCCCAGTGCTGTGGACAAACAGGGCGTGTCTACCATGGCCTCCCAGCCCTGCCTCAGTGGCCACTGCCCACCAGGCGGCCACGCCAGCCTCATAGGCCTCACGGTTCCTGTACTTCGGGGCTCAGAGGATGGGGCTGGACAGTCTGAACTCCTGGCCACTGGGTAGAAGTCAGGTACATTATCTTCTGGTTTATTTACGCAAAGCCTGGAGACTAAAAGTTCTACCCTGTAGATGGAGAAAGAACTTTCCTTTGATGTGAAGATTACCTTTTCTGATGTTATGGAAAGTTCTCTTTGCCCTCCCAGCTCGCTCAGAGGATCAGATGAAAGGACTCTGGATGAAGCTGCCACCAACAGCATGCCCCTCCCCGAGAGTGACCAGGCCTCCTCGGCAAGAGGCAGGCTGGGGCAAGCCCGTCAGGGTGTGTGTGTCGGTGACTTCAAGGGGACACTCCTGTCTATCTGCTTAAGGGCAAGCTGAAAGCCTGGGGGTGGGGAGGCGGTTCTTTTAGGATCAGAGAAGGGACTGGTGCCCAGAGCCTCCCCAGTCACAAGAGACTCCCTGAAAGGTACTTAAGTGCTTTTTATTCCAGTAAGGACACGGGACTGTGGACACGACCTGCAGAATGGCACCTTGGAATGCTTTGGCGGTGAGCAGCGTAACCGGCCACCGTTGTCAACAGCGTGCTTGTCACACAGCCACATCAGAACCAAGCCTGTATTCAGGCAGTTCTGTCCCTGGTCCTTCTCAGCCTGAGTGAGTGTGTAAAGTGACCTGGCTTGCGTGATTTGAAGTTTCTGCCATCTAGAGGACTAAAACAAACAAAAACATTTAATACAAAAAAGCTTACTTTTGAAAATTCAAGGAGCACAGCACAGCCAGCAGTGCTCAGCCTCCAGCAGGAAACGCCCAGGGGAGCGCAGGGGGCAATGCAAGGCCCTCCCTCCCTGCAGGCTCTGGGCCCAGGGGCCTGGGGGTGTGCTGCACCGGGCCAGCTCCTCCAGGCCAGTAGCTTCCAACCACCTGGAGGGAAGGAGGGGGAAAGAGACTGGGACATCCCAGGCTGTTAAGCCTTAACTGTGGGACCCAGAGCCTGCAAAGCCTTCTGGCTAATCCGCCAGCCCTGACAGGTCTTGGACTCCTCCCTGCAACCTCCCAGCCAACCCAGGCCCAGGAATGTGCTCATCAGCTGTGTCTGCAAAAGGGGACAGGTATCGGTGACACCCCCTCCCAGGAGCACGTGATGGCAATGCTCCCACAGCAGTGCCAGGCCCCCACAGCTGGTCCACAGGGTCACCAGCCTGGTGGCACCCTGGCTGGGGCAGGGAGCACAGGATTGGGCACAGCTCATCCCTTGTCACTGTTACTCCTGACAGCCTTGGAACACACACAAATCCTGGAGCAGACTCGCTCGAGCAGCCCCGGCACACGCCACCCCAGAACCAGGGAAGGACGCCGGTCATGGGCAGCCGTCCGCTCGGCCACTGAGCTGGAGGAGCGGTGCCCAGATGCTATGGAGTGTGGACAAGCCCCGGCCAGGTCAGTGCTGCCCAGGGCACCCACACCCGGTCCTCATCACACACTGGCTGCACACCACCTGTCCTGGTCAGAGACAGGAGCAGCCCTGGGGTTGGTGAAGGCCTGAATGGCAGGCTGACCAGACCACAGTGGGGAGGGCGGGCACATGGCCTCCTGCTGGGACCGTGACTATGGTCGTAAGGGAGATGACACCGCCACCTTGCAGTGGGCTGTGGGCTGTGACCACTGAGAGAACCATGTTCACAGCAAGCCCCGTGGTCACGTCTTCCAGCCGTGCCGCTGGCACCTGGAAGCTCCGACAACCGTGGGCCCAGACACTGGAAACACATGTGCACCTCCTACTCCAGGGAACAGGTCAGAGAAGGAGGCTCCAAGGGATGAGTGGAATGACAGTGCTGTTCTGGGCCTCCTAAAGTGGACGGCACATCCACCTCCAGTGTCATTCCACGATGTCACAGGGAGCCCTCCTGCCCCACCGGCCACTGCAGATGCATAGCTGAGCCCCTTGTAGCGCTGTCCTGGCCCCGCCGGCCCCTGCAGGACTCCCCTCCCGCCCTCAGAGGGACCCATAGGCACCGCAGGCCCAAGCGGTACCCCTAATCCAGGCTCAGAGGTGCCATCAGCCCCACACCGCAGCCAGGCCAACAATGAGCCTGAGGAAAAACCGATCTCGTACTTTCCTCTATGCAAACTACAAACTGAGGTTCCAGAAGTCAAATTAATCAAATTAATTTTTTTTTAAGCTGAGCCATTCTGCCACCTGTTGGCAGCTTAGCGGCAGCTCAGCTCGGGCTGGGAATCGAACTGGCGACACTGTTGCTCGGAGCTTGCACTCTTTTTTTTTTTTTTTAGATTTTTATTGGGAAATTGGGGGAAGGGGAACAGACAAGTTGCTGTCCTTTTGTTCTTCAGTCTAGTTGTGGAGGACGTTGCTTCACTGGCCCAAGTTGGAACCATCATTGCGCTCTTCCCGGGGGAGGCAGATCAGTCGCCGGCTTCTGGACGGCCACTCACGGTGGCTGCTGGCTACACACGGTGGCTGCTGGCCGCTCACGGTGGCTGCTGGCTACACACGGTAGCCCATGGCAACCCACTGCAGCAGGGGCTGCAGCCTACACCGTCGCCGTCGACTCATGGCAGCCCAGCTCCAGGTTGAGCTGTTGTGCAGCAGCTTAGCTGTAGAGGGCAGTGTCACTGGCCCTCATATGTGGGATCCAAACCGGGGCCCTCAGTCATCCCAAGCCAGCTCTTAACCAACGCGCCACTGGGCCAGCCTGGAGCTTGCACTCTTGAGCGAGCTCTAACCAACTGAGCCACTTTGCTGGCCCTCAAATTAATTTTAATAACTCAGTGACTTCCTATTTTTTTGTTTTTTTTTTTAAAGATTTTACTGGGGAATTGGGGAAGGGGAAGTGTTGGGGAACTGGGGAAGGGGAACAGCCAAATTGTTGTCCTTCAATCTTAGTTGTGGAGGGCACAGCTATTTCAGCTCCAAGTCCAGTGGCCACCTGGCTGCCCGTCGGCAGCTTGCAGCCGCTCAGCTCAAGGTGCTGTGTTCAGTCCTAGTTGCGGATGGGCGTAGCCCACCATCCCATGCAGGAGTCGAACCAGCAACCTTGTTGTTAGGAGCACGTGCTCTCTCCAACTGAGCCATCCTGCCACCTGTTGGCAGCTCAGCTCGGGTGCAGCTCACTGGCCCATGTGGGAATTGAACCAGCGACCTTGTTGCTCAGAGCTCACGCTCTTAACCAACTGAGCCACTCAGCCGGCTCCAACACTTGCTGTTTTAAAACCAGATCCTTTTTATATGAACGTTTGGTGATAGGCATAGCAATCTGTTGTTTTACCCATTCCTGAAGCTGGAAGGTTTGTTCCTATCAGACCTACAGTGGTTCCTGGCTGTGGCAGGAAGGGTCCAGGCCCATTGCACAGGACACCTGCTGACCTCTGGCTGGGGCTGGCTCCATGTGAGTGTCTTGATGTGGAACTCGAGCAAGATCCACGTTGTGACAACTAGATGCCCCGGGAGAGTAATGCCAGCCACACCGGTCACAGGTGAACCAGGTAAGCCGCATCACTGAGTGGGGCCAGGTGGCAGCCGACTTTCCACCTGGTGACCCAGGGTGCTTCATACTCACACCCTGCTCAGAGAGGCGTCTGCACATGAGTGGCCCCACCAAACCCACCTTCTTTCCCAAGTCGGAATGCCAGTCCCACTCCGGAGCCTGCAGAAATCATAAAGCAGACGTGACAACAGGCAGTAGAATTTCAACTTTATTTGGCCAATATGTACAGTTCCAATTTCCAATGTGGCAGTAATGCCTGAGGAACTGTCAACAACCGTTGGGGCTCAAGCATTCTGGGCGTCTCCGGCCTGAAGATGGAGGGCCCTGGTTCTGCTCGGCACAGGCCTCAGGCTGCCCCAGAGGTCAGAGCAGTGAGAGACCTGGCTGGGGAGGGGGATCTGGCCTGGCCCTGCTGCCCCTGTGACAGAGACCTAAAGTCTCCGTTTAACCAAACAATGCGAGAGCCACGCTCAGTCACGGCAACACTGGCATGAGGTGAGTGTGACCCGTCCAGCCTGGCTCGGTCCCTCTCCACACAGGGGACACCAGTCTCCAGGGCAGCCCAGCCAAGGTGCAACAGACACCCTGATGTCTAAAAATGTCTAAAAATCCCACAGATGGAACTTTTTAAAAGTGACAGCATAAACCTAACAGTGCCAGTGTGAGATTCCCAAACATTTAAGCGAGCGCTCTGGACAAACCGTGTACGAAAAAGTACATCACAATTAAAAAGAAACAGCCCCCAGGGTGGGCTGGCCTGGAGAGGGGACCCTTTCCAGAGACTGACAAGTGGAAGGAAGAGACGGGTCTAAATCTACGTGTGTTAGAGTGAAGTGTTGCCTCGGGAAGTCCCCTGTGATCTGATGGCCGCTCCTCTTCCGGGTTAGGGTCCCGGGCCCCGGACCTGTGCTGCAGAGGAGCAGCCCACCGAGGGCGAGTCGGGTGCCCAGGGCTGGCTGCGACATCACAGTTCGTCTTTCACAGCTTTCTGATCATCATCGTCCTCCAAGTCCGGCTCCTCTGCTTCCTCTAGGTCTTCCAGATCCTGGGACGTGGGGGAAAAAGAAGAAGGATGTGAAAGCTCAAGACCCTCACACGCCTCACACACCAGGGACGGGCTGGCCACTCAGACAGGGGTAACCAGTCTGGTCTCCCACATGCAGAAGCCTAGGGGCTATTGCCTCAGAAACGATGGCAGCCCCACCGTCAGGTGGGTGAGAGGCAGGGCAGCCCAGCATGGAGACGCAGCAGGGCCACCCCCTCCAGCCCTCAGAATGTGTGGTGCCAGTGGCAGCCGGCAGCCCACAGCCCACAGGCTGCCCGGGCCCTCCCGAGTCCCAACCGCACCCAGCTGAGCAGCCAGAGTGGACCCCCTCAGTAGACCTGCCCCCACCCGTTTCCCAGGGTTTTGGGTGGGCCCCGCCGGCCTGAACTGACCTTCCCTCCATTCCCCAACGCAGACGTCCTGCTATCCACCAGCCCCCACCCCCGCCACAGCCTCTAGGCCCTGGCGCACTTCTGACACGCCCTCTGCTCCCCCACGGCTGACACCAATAGGGCGCCTCAGCCGAGGGGCTGGGGAAGGACATTTGGGTCCGAGTGAGAAGTCACGTGGGGCGAGTCTGAGATTTCATAAGCAAACTCCAGCATATAGAGACGACACCAAACAGACGCACGTGGAAGTGCTGATGGGGAGAGCAATCCACATGCACGGGGAGGGCTTTCTGGCAGCCGCCCAGCCCGGCCTGGTCACGTGCCTCCAGTGTCAACCCCTGTAGGCTGGGGCCCGACAATCACACTTACGGCTGGGGTCAGACGATCACACTTACGTCGTCATCCCCTGCCCCATCCTGGCCACCGCTCTCCAGGAACTTCTTGAAGCCCTCTAGCGTCCGCTCCCCGTTGTAGTCGATGACCTGTGGGGATGGAGGGGGGTGAGGAGCAGGACTTTAGGCGATGCCCCCTCCCTGCAGAGGTGCCCCCCCCCTGCCCAGTGGGAGGCGCACCGTCCTGTCTGCGCCCGCTGGGAAGAACTTGAGCGTGGGGAAACTGTGCACTTTGACAGCCTCCACCTCGTTAGCCGTTGAGTCCATCTTGGCGATGATGATATTTTCATGGTCCTTGTATGTCTCTCCTAGCTTATCCCAAATAGGAGCCAACTGTTTGCAGTGGCCGCACCACGGGGCATCTGGAAGGAGGCAGGCCTGAGTCTCACTGGGCCAGGAAGCCGTTCCTGCCCGACCCAGCTCCAACACTCCGAGGGAGCCCACAAACCCGGAAAAGCCTTCGCTTACAGAATTCCACAAAGACGTTCTTTTTCTCATCAAAAGCCACCTCTTCAAAGTTCTTCCCGACCAACACTTTGACAGGATGCTTGTCCCAGTCTTCAGGCAGCTCCTGGCTCATCAGGTGGGGCTGGAGGGCAGGCAAGAGGGTCAGGGGCACAGCCACCATGGGCCAGCCACCCCGTGGAGGGGCACAAGTGCCCTCGGCAGACCACAAGGCCCACGGAGTCTGAGGACGGCCAAGCCTACAAGGCCAGTCATTGCTGCTCCCTGCTCCCCATGCAGTGGGACCAGGACGGTCATTTCACCCCATCTAGAGGCTTTGTCCCCAGGACCCCACGCTCACGGATGCAGCCACACAAAGGAACCAGAGGTGGCGCAGGCCAGCCCCCGCCCAGGGCACGCCGCACACCTTGATCTTGCCCTCCAGGAAGCGGCGGCAGAACTCCGTGATCTTGTCTGCTGTCAGCTCGTCCGACTCGGGCTTGTACTTGGTCATCTCCTCCTCCAGGGTGATGAGACGCACGGCTGGGCATTCCTCCTTCTTCAGGCCGAAGAACTCGAGGATGCGCTGGTTGTCGGTGTGGTCACTGTCGATGAAGATAAACAGGATCTTGGGGGAGAAAAGGCACGTTGAGTGGCAATGGGAAGGCGGCACGTTCAAGGTAACATGTCTACTCTGGGCACTCAGCACGGGCACGTCAGGCCACGTGCCAGTGGGAGCGGAGGCAGACCCGGTCAGCCCTCCCCAAGACCCCCCAGGACCCAGGACAGGTAGTGTGTGTGAGGGGACGACGACGCCACGCACCTTGCCCTTGAAGCTCCCAGCAGCGCTCTTGAAGTTGCTCAGTTTGCCATCGTAGTCAGACACGCTCTTGGGCAGGAACAGCAGGATGTGAGTCTTGATCTCCCCTCCGAAAATCTTCGGGGCCGTCTGTTGAAACAGGTTACTTGTCCTGAGCCACGAGCTAAACTACTGACGTAGGTACATGCTCAATGGCCCCTCGTCACTGCACGCCCGGACAACAACGAGGACTCGACTGGGGACCCCAGGGCACCGCCCGCCCCAGAGCAGGCCCAGTGGGAGCAGATGTCCGGACCTGCTCGGTGAACTCGATGACCAGTGGCAGCTGATTGTGCTTGATGAAGTCCAGCAGCTTGTCTTTAGTGATCTCCCCATCAAAGTCATTCCGGCCTTCATCAAACTACGGACAGAACAGAGAGGGCCCTGAGCACCGAGGCTCAGCAGAGCAAGGCATGTCCCCAGCCAGCCTGGCAGCCCCACCTTCTGTCTGGGATCGACAGCAATTGGGGCAGACCCCACGTGCCTGTCTAGCAAACAAAGCCAGGCGACGCCTGCAGGGACCAGCATCTTTCTGAGTACCAGGCAACAGTGATGTCCCCAAGGGAGAGCGAGCGAGCAGGCAGGCTCCCAGAACACAGGCCGGCAGCGGGCCCGAGACCCCGCCCCACCATGCTGTGGAGTCACAAGCCCCTCGTCCCAGTGCTGGGAACCTTTCTCATCCCCAAGTCCCTAAAGCTACAGCTCTTAGGGTGTGGGCAGCACCCCTGGGGGCGGCCGCAAGGTCAAGGCGACATTCACCATCACATTCGGATGTCATGTGCTTTCTCACGTTTTCTGTTGTGTGTGCAGGATGGTTTTACCGGGGTGGCATGTGTGACATCACAGCAGACTGAAAGCAAATAGGAGAGCTCTGCTGTCTTCTGTTTAGGCAAACATTAAAGGGACCAGGAGACGCCTAACATACCACTCTTATCATTAAAATATTGTCTGGGAAAATTAACTTTCAGAAGAATGTTATTTTTGATAACATGTAATGGCTTTGTTATTGTTATTTTAGAATAAAGTAAGTTTTCAAAAAAATTCTCAACCTACTTTCTAAAAACAAAAATCGACAGGTAGAGCCCACACAAACCAGCTCTTTGGGATGCTCAGGACACAAAAGGGTTTCAGAAGTCCTGAGGCACAAAGGTGGAGGCCAGAGGGCCAACGGGGCGCCTTGTGGCCGAGCTGCGGCCGCAGCTGCGAACGGGCTGCACAGACGGCTCCCGACAGAGGTGGGTCCTGGGCCTGAGCCTTGGCCAGTGGGCAGTCCAGGTGAGCCTGCCGTCATCCCCGAGCTCTCAAATGAGACCTGGAGGGGACCTGCTCGCCTTTCTTTCCTGCCATTCCCCACAGCACAAACGTGGATTAAAAGGGGGAATAGCCAAGGCCAAGAGCACATTGTTTAGAAAATGAGGAGCCAACTGGGCGGCCCCATCAGGCACACAGCAGGCCAGGCCCCTTGCCCCAATTAGAGGCACATAGTCGCTGTCCACACGCACCCTGCCCGAGCAGCCAGCATTGTCTGCCCGACCCCATGCTGACCTGCCGCTTTGTCAAGCCACAATCTTTTTACAATCTTTTTGGTAATGTTGCCACATTATACTGTGTTCACCATCTACTTTGGTAAAAAGCAGCTAGCCAGCCCTCACTTAGCTGGGGACAGCGGCAGGAGGCACGGTGCCCTGGGCGGAGACCCTCGTCTCTAGCAGCGGAGGCAGCCCTGCCAGGCCCCAATGGAAAAGTCACAAAAAGGTTCAACACTGCAAGCCCTGGAGACACCGGCCCACAGCCACTCCTAATGCCCCAGGCTTCCAGGAGTAGGCAAGGAAAACAGAATAAATGTCCTCGGAACAAAGACATAGGAAGCTCAGCTCTCAAGCCCATGATCCAACCCCTGTGACCAGTGACCCAAGCTGGTGCAGAGGGGCTTCAGTGCCACCGCACCACTGCCCTCCTTGTCATCCTGCCTAGCAAGCAGCACTGGCCGCTCCAGGGAGCCCGCTGGCTGGGGCCCCTGGGGAAGTGGCTGGCTTGGCCAGGCTGCCCTGGAAAACCCAGCTCACGTTGAGGAACTGGGCTGAACAGCCTGAAGGAAGGGGACAAGTAAAGGCTGAAAAAGAAAATAAGAAACCGAGTGTGACAGCTGACAAAGCAGGGACGCCGGGCACAGCGGAAACCTGAGAGGCTCTGGGCCAGAGGCATCACGCTTCCCTGTCCGTGGGGCTCTGCGTCTCACTGCAGCTGTGACTCCCACTGGCCCCCCGCAAACGCCACAGGTTCGGTCAGGCTGCTGCCCGAGCGAGCGAGAGCCACCGTGTGGACAGGAAGCGCTGCTCGCTCACTGGCACCAGACCTGAGGGCTCGGCCGTGCCCGGCCTGAGTTGACACACGGAGATCGGCTGGCACGTCTTTGCAGAACAAGGAACGGTTGCTCTAACCTGCGATCAGCTGTGAAAATGGGTCCCCTCGATGTCGAGGGTGATGGAAAGCAACAGTGTGGACCGAAGCCGCAAAGGCCTAGAGCACTCAGTCCATCTGCACTTCAGGACGAGACCCAGGCCTCTGTCGTTAAC